AAATCCTCCAGGGCGGATGCTGGCAAGGACTCATTGCACCTTTACAGCAAATCCTGTTGGGTTTACGGAGGAGGCATCATTAAAAACCAACCACCCCAAAGCCAGCAACGCTTGAGTTTTGTAGAGCTAGGTAAAATGAAGGCGATCAGACAGCAAGGTGACTTTCTCTGCTCCAAGTTCAGCTCTCCCTCACCCCAACAGGTACCTCTAGGTCAGCTTGAGATGTTTCTGGTAGCTTGGCCCAGACATGAACAATTTTACTGAACGTTAAGCAGCTGCTCTGCCCTGGGTGAGGTTTTGTTTCCAGGTTGCTGCCTGCAGCCCTGCCAAAGCCCTGGGCAGCCAGACACGATGTCCCACCCATGGCCAGCTTCCGCCCCAATGAGGTTTCACCAGCCACGCAGCCCAACTCCACCATATTTCTGCCCAGCAAGACCAACTTAATGGCACTATTGCGCAACCAAAGGCACCAGCAGGATGAGCTTGTGCTGCAGACAGCAAGGGTCCTGTCTTAGAGGTTTAACATTTAAACAGGCAAGAAAGAAGTAAAGCATCCCCACTGCACAGTGCTGGGACGCCAATCTGCCCCCATGTCTGCAGCATGGGGATCCCAGCCACAGTCTATCCATCTTCTGGCATGCCAGTGGACTATGCAGCCAAAGATACCCAACCACGGCATCTCAGACCATCTCCTACGATGAAACACTTATCAGTGCTCCCCTGGTTTCCAGCATGAGCATCAGGTTACAGCAAGTTCCTCCCTGCCAGGTCTCAAGCTGCTCAGGTGAAAAATTCAATGCTGAGCAGCCCCAGCCAGCACTTTTAATCTACTCTTTGTCTGTAAATGGATCAGAGAACAGGACACACCTGGATTCTGGCAAAATACAACCACCACCCTGGATACCAGAGCTGGAAGAACAGCTGAGTCCATCCACCTCAAGCTGGAGGGACACAAGACAACATGAGCGGCTTTTCCTTTGCATGCCTTTGTATTAATTGAAAAGTAACAAATGCAAAATAAATTTATACCATTAGAACCCTATCATGGAATTATGTTATGGATGCATAACCCGGGGGGGGATTAAAAACCCACAGTGCAAACGGCACTTGAAATAAAACCTCTCCTGCCCATTATTACGGTGGTTATGCAGCATGAAGTGATAACTGGAACATAGACCTCAGCGGGAAGAATTATTCTCTAGAAACAAAGCGCCACAGCTGCAGGCAGCTGCGGGGGAAGGGACAGATTCATCCCAGGGGTGACTACTGACTTTGCTAAGAGCTGTGTGTGTCCCCCCTGCCCCTGCTCTAAAACCAATGCAGACTTTTTTTTCTTAAGTAGCATTAATACCCGCTTTGGGTCTGACTCAGCTAATCTGGGAACAGCAGGTATTGGAGCCCCTCGCAAGGACCAGCAGCAAAGGACAGAGACACCTTTAAGAGCCTAGAAACAGGGAGGACCTGGCACCATGCTTCAAGGAAGATGTGGAGCAACAGGCAAAGGTCCAGAGGAGAAATAACACCACAGAGGTCTGTAATAGGTGACCTACGGGAAACATAGAAGAGGCCAAAAGCCAAAATTGTTCAGTGGAGAGAAGATTGATGGGACATGGGAAAGTAACCCCAAAGTTGTTCAGTGGAGAAAAGACCGATGGGAAAATAATGCAGCCAGACACAGAGGGATGCTGCAGAGAAGGGAATGTGGTGCCACCACCTCCTCAGTAGAGCTAAAAAGTGGCTTTGGCCTCCGGTAACAAAGGGGAGACAAAGCCTGGATGTGAGAAACTGTAACCGGGAAAAAGCCTGGATGTAAGCCCTACAGCAGGCTGCAGAGCCTTCGGCGCGGGCAGAGTTTGCAGGACACTTCCACAAGAGTCTTTCAGGGACGGGTGGGACATACCTGCCTTCTCTGTACCACTCCTTTCCCTGCACCACTCATCTCCAGCCCTGTCCTCTACAGCTTGTATTTCAGGTCTATGCCCACCTGCAAAGGCACCAGCCCAACACTTCGGCTTTTCCTCCCTACTGCTCTTCCAGACTGAGTTTATTCCATTTCTCCTGCTCTTCAACAGCCTCCAGCCATAGATCAGAAACAGCCAACTTCTCCACAAAGCCTCTTCTCCATCCTCCACGACCGACCCCTGGGCCCAGCTGATTTGACTCCATCTGCACCAGACAACAAATTGTCCATGTTCATTCCCCAGCTCCATGTTTGCAGTGCACAGAAATGCTGCATTAGCAATACAGAACTGCTGAAGAAGTGTCATGATTTACCCTTGGCTGGGTTATATCTGGCTTTTTTTTTTTTTTTTTTTTTAAGACATTGGAAGGAAAGACACAGCTGAACCCTGGAGGAGTTTGCAGGCTGAGGCCAACATGAGACCAGACACTGCAGGCAGCGCTTGATAAGGAGATTCAGGCATTACAGCCTTCCTTAATCTAGACAAATGACTTCTTGCTTTTACATTTGAGTTTTGCAACTTTTTGCAAAGAGAGAAACAGAAGTTTCTCAGGAGGTGCAGCAGAAGCTGCAGAAGCAGGTTCCCGACCCACACTCGATGGCACAGACACCAGTGGCAGAGACACAACAGTATAAAGGGAATAAAGTAACTCTCAGATGAGCACAGATGAGGTTTTATTGCTGTAAAATCTCTATTTTGAGAAAGCCTGCGTAACAAGGTAAGGGCTGATGCCAGCACAACACAATTCAGACATCTGCGGGTTTCCTGGACCAAGCAACTTGTAGATTAAAATATCTTAAAGTAGATTAAAGTAGTGAATTCCAGAGTTTGCTGGAATTTACACCAGACCTTCCCGGCCCCACCACCACCCGGCCAGCTCCAGGGAAGCTGCTTTTTGCAGGGGATTGCTGGTTTCAAACAGGAGGCAAAAACATTCAGCACTTAAAATAATACAAGTCCAGGAAGCTGGTGGGGGATATTTGGAGACCAGGAAAGTTCTTACAGCACCTCAAGTATCCCTATTGCTGTGCACCATTTAAACAGCTTGCCCGGCCTCTGGATCAAAATACGTTTCAAACATTGCCAAGAGAAACTCTTTGCAGCGCTGCTTTCATCCATCATTTATGTAAAGCTTCGGTTTCCATTATTCAAGCAGCTGCAGCCAGCATTGACCAGAGAGACCTCGGCGCATCCTGCTCTCCATCAGTCGGTTGTTTTCCACCAAGCAGCCAATGGGCAGAGATATGAAAGATTTCATTTACCCATCAGCAAATGCTGCGACCCCAGCTTGCAACTGGGTTTTCACCCAAGAACTGCAGGGAGCAGGACAGGGTGGTTTGTACTTGAAACCCACCTGGATGACTGCTGCTTCATGCCTCCAAAACCTCTTTCCAATCCCTATCCAAAGAAGCCTTCCCCAAGTCCAGCAGAAAGGCAGGAGACCACGCAGCCCCTTCCAACGATTTACAACCCAGTGCGGAACTGAGGGAAAGGGGGAATCTCAGGCAAGGCAGGAAAGCCAAGAAATACTCCACCGTTACGAAAACAGTCATGAGATCTTGAATGTCTAGACGGAGCTGCGGGGAAGTCTGCTTTCAAGGTCTCATCCACACGAGGCACAGGGATGACCCAGAAAAGGAGCTGTGTGGAGTCTGGCTGATCTGCCTGGGTGCCAGGTGAATGGCTGCTGAAGCCCCATCGGGACCGAGCCTTTGATACTGTGGTTTTACGAGCCATTTCCGAGCCTGCTGAGCCATCCCTGCTGGAGAGGTGAACCACCTCCCTGGGGGAGCATTTCAACTTCTTGAGTTCTGGAAGAGGCATTGCTTTTCTCGGATTTGGTTAGCACTGCTCATAAAATTTGCATTTAGCACCAGCTCACCTCCTCCATCCTCTCCCACTTGGCATCACCATCTCAGGCTGATGCTTACGCTAAAACCCATCAGCTCTTCAAAACAAAGCAGCAAAATAAAAAATTTCCATTTCCAGCTCTTTTCCCTCCAGCCTCACATGCCCACTACCAAGGATGCTGCTCATCCTTTTGCTCCATAAGTCTCTGCCAGCAGATGTGCGAAATGAATAATTTGCATTTTCTTTGGGAGAAATCCCACTCAAGCAAAAACGCTCACTCTCCAGTGACCGTGCACCGATACTGCAGCTCAGCACCAAAGCCAAAGCAACTTTGTGGCGATAACTTTTCAACACTTAAACATAAATGCTGCAAAGCCCACAGGAGCTATTTGGGTTTGGAAGACACAGAACGCACATATGCCTCAGTTCACCTATTTAATTGCTGTTTGCTTTGGCATTAAACTGCATTAGTGCCCAACGCTGGAAACTGGAAGCGTCCCCTCCACGCAACCCACCCCCTCCAGCAGGGAAAACCTGGCTTTCCACTGTCTTGGAGCTGCGAAAAGAGGTCAGAAATCCAAAGCAGAGCTTGGCACAGGGCAGCACCTGCAGACAAATCCCACAGCTGCAGCTCGCAGCCCTACAGCCAGAAGTGTGTGTGCATGAGAGGCTCGTTTTGGCCAGGGCCCTAGGACAGTGGAGCTGATGGGTTTATCTGCTCTCCTTCTGCTCCCAGCTCTCAGCTGCCTGGGGCCTTTGCTGCCTGCGAAGAAACCTCACCATTGCTAAATCTGAACAAGTTGGGACAAGGAGAAAACGAGATTTCCAACAGCAATCAGATGGCTGCGGATTGCAAAACAGAGACACCATCCGGGTTGCCCAAATCGTGCGGGAATTCAGCCGTGTAGGAAGCGACTCAGTCCTCCTGACCCAGCTTTCTAATGCCCTCCCTTCCCGTCACACCAAGAAAACTCCTCCTCTGGAGCCCCAGCACCCTCAAGCGTGACCCACCGGTGTGTGTCAGTTTGCTTAGACACACAGGAATCAAAACTTCAATCATTTGCAGCAACTAGGACAAAAACATTCTGCGGTAAAGGAGGAGCTATGAGATGAGAACCAACTGCACGAGCACAGCCCTGGGGGCATCCCTTCCCAGGCAGGCTGAGCCTTGGAGAGCCCCAACATTACCTCTTCCTCGCTCTCGACTTTGGGATTGCTGGCTGTGCGCTTCAGATTGCTGCTCAGGCTGATGGTAACGGTGGCGTCCGACTTGGACCTCTGGTGAGTTCTTTTGGAAGGAGACAGCCCCATATCGGGGGCTGGGCTCAGCGATGGCAGCTCCCTCTTCTTGTAAGCTGGCTTCAACTCGTCTGAAAGGATGAGTTTCCGCAGCTTGGTCCCGCGGGAGTGTCGCTGAGTGGAGATGTGCATGTCCGAGGAGTAGGCGCCCAGCAGCAGGGCACACTGCAGGGAGAAATTGATGCTCTGCCGGCAGCGGTGCACGATGTATGGCTTGATCGCATCTCCCACGTCCTCGTCCATGTGAATGTACATATTCAGCAGCTGCGGCAGGTAGAAGTCCACTTCTTCGTTCCTAAAGCAGAACAACCTATTCCCAATGTAAGCCTGCACACCAGGTTCCTTTGAATTGTACAAGTATGAAATGGCCATGGAGATATCAAAGAGTTTGGATTCAAAGAGCCGGAGGAGCCAGGACTGCTTAGCAGAGTTATTCTTCTGCCGCTTCCGGGCAGTTTTCACTGTGTTGGCCATGGTCTCGTCCTCCTCCTGGATCTTGGAGGCCGTGCTGGGCGGATCATCCAAGCACTTGATTTCACAGCCCTCCCTGATGTCTCCATTGGCCAAATCCACCACGGTCCGTGGGGCACACTCTGCCTCGCTGCCATCAGCCGGTTTTGTTAAGCTGTCGGAGGAGATGCCATGCATCAACTTGACCTTCTCCAGGACCTCTTCGCAGGCTTTCTTTGCCACCTCGGGGTCGATGACCGCCAGCTCCCCAACACCTTCTGTGATGACGCTGAGAGACGTCCCGCCATTTCCTTGGGGCGCTGAGCTGGGCGCCTGGTCCAAGCCTGTCCCTCGGGCTGGGTCTACAACAGAGTCTCCCATAGCAGTGGCAGGTCTGCACGCTTCAAAGCTGAAAGAAAACAAGACAAAAAGAGTCAGGGACACAATCTGTGGAGTAGACCTGCTTCCAGCCTGAAGGTGGGAAAACAGGAATCCATGCCAGGATACACCTCAAGGGAAGCGAGAGCTGAGATGAGGTTTGGTGCAAACCTTTTCAAAAAGCCTTTGTCTAGAGAGGGAAGGTACCCCAGGCCAACGCACACAACACAAGCTGGCCCAGTGCAACGCCAAGCTAGTCATGTTGGGTTTTAAAGGTCTTCTCAGTGCCCCTTCCACTCAGACTTGAAAGAGAGCTGTAAGCATCTATCCGCCGTTACACAAAATTTCCCTGTTACTATGACGATAAAAAAATTAGGCAAGCCAAAAAGAGGAGGGGGGGGGGGGGGGGCAGAAATCAGGTTGCTTTATGCTCACCACCCCAAAGGCATTCTGCAACGCTTGGGATTAGAGGGCCACAGGCTGGGTGGACCCAGTGGCTCTGCTTCTTGCTAGCAAAGATGAAGTTTATCCCCCGTGCTCAGCTTTTGCTCCTTTAACCTCCTTTCGGGACGGAGGGTGAGGGTGGTACATGGCACTTTGATGGTGAAATCCCGCGCCGGTGCCGGGCGATGGGTGAGCAGAGAGCTGGAGCAAGAACCAAGTTTGTTGCAACAAGGTCCCTGTTTTCAAAGTCCAGATGCCACTGCCCAGATTACGTATCCTCACCAATGATTAGCACTTAATTACGTTTTAAAAAGAAGATAAATGAGGGATTGAACACACTTCCTGGTTTCCCATCTCGATAAAAAGAGCAGTGGTGCATCTCTGTGGATAACCAGAAAGAATAAAGAAGGCCAGTGCCAAGTGAAATTGTCCTCTAAAAATAAAATAAGGCACTCTATTCAATCTAACATCATTACTGCGGCTCTGACTGCTTCCCTTTATTGCTCATACGCTACAACAAGACAGCTCGTGATCAGCAGAAGGGCACAATGCCTTTTACAAATGTTAAGCACTGCAAGCAGATTGCCAATTCCCTCCTGCCTTTCACGTCCAGCACGGTGGAAAAAATTACTGTCTTTGGAAAAAAAGTTCACTGAACCATTTTCTGCCTGTCTGTTCCCCCAATGACCCCCAGCCCCTTTTGCCTGCAGAAGCTGTGCCGGCAGGTTCTTGCAATGAGATATTTCCCTGTTAATTTAATGACCTTGTTTTATCTGTTTATTTTTACAAGTCATTACAGCTCCCGATGTGGGAGAAAGGGCCAAGGAAACCCACAGCATTTCTTTCTAAATATTCCAAGCGAGTAAAAATGAGGTCGGTGTGTCCAGATGCAAGCACCACTTCCCAGAGACCGGTTTCTTCCTCTTGTTTTCAAAGCACTTAAGCTGTAACTATGAGGTGAAAAAAGGCTGACCAAAGTTCAGCAGTCTGAACTGATATGAATAGCATCTTTCATCCCGTCTGCATGGCAGTGACACACAACGTTTTCCTCTGTGCTTGCCATTCCCTTCGGTACAAATCCCGCATGCTTCAAATATTTGTGGTCATTAGATCCTAAAGACCCTGGGAGCTGAAGGAAGTTGTTTTTCCTTCTTAGTGAGCTCAGCCTTGCCCCACAAAAGCCCAGACGATCTAATTTTTAGCTTAACACCACGCCAACAAAAACGAGATCCTTCGGTGTAACTCGGCAAGGCGGGATTTGGAGAGGCACGGAGTGGAGCTGGGTCCAAGGAAGAGTCGCACAGAGCTTCGCTTGTGCCAGCACTTCTGGGGTCCTTCAAACGTTTGCATCAAGACAACTGGGATTACAAACTAATGAAAAATAAAAAAATTCAGTGGTGGCATCTGCCGGAGTCCCGAACATGGCTGCGTGGCCACACGCCAGGTGCAGAAGTACCTGCAATCCCAGGCAGCTCGGTCACCCGCAGGGGGCCTTCCGAGCCCCGACTATTTATCTGATGCACGGAAATGCTTTTGACATCCTCCTTGCTGGGCTGTAGAGGGAGAAAAAGTGCGTAGGATCCCGTTAAACCTCCCTCCCCATAAACACAGGTCATGCACGTGAAGCCTGGTGCAGTGTGACGGCACACGCTACAATACTGGACGTTATACCTCCTCCGTGTCCACAGGAGAGGCTAGATCCGACCTGACCTACTCACGCAAGGTATCCCGATGACTCCGAGGCACCCGTGTTACAGTCACCACAAGCAGAGTCGCTTCCACCGCCAGCACAAACTCCCCGATCCTTTTGCTACCTTCATGCAGCCAGCCAGGCCTGGAGGAGCCCCATGCACCAGAGAGGAGACATCCGGACAGAGCTCGCAACTGCTGAGTGGGTTAAACTTGGATTAAGGAACTGCGCAAGATAAATCCACCCACGGGCCTGCAGGGTTACCTCTGCACCGCAGGCACGGCTTTGAAATCCGTGCATTGCTTTTTTTTTTTTTTTTAAATCAGTGCATTGCTTTTTTTTGTTTTTATTATTAATATTTTGCTCTTCAGCTCCCCCCCCGACACTTACACAGCCGCCTTCTTCGGTGACATCCCAGCAATGGGGCTGTTTGGAGCCCGCCAAGGACATGTCTCCACTCCTAGCGCTCCCTAAAATCCCAGCGAGGGAATTCACTCCCTGCCTCCTGCACCTCTCTGCATTTTTCCGTGATTCACATCACCATTTGTTAAACATACCACAACGTACTATTTACCTCTCGAGGCTCAGCATAACTCCCCTATTCCAAATCGCTGGTCTCAACAGGGATAAAAACCCCATCAGCTGCACACAATGAAGCAATCCAGTCTGGAAAACAGGCTGAGCTGAATTCATGTGGTTCATCCTCCACCCACAGCCATAACGGGCCAAGTTTCTCTCTGGTGGAATGGCCCTGAAGTCGGTGATTAAATACAAAATACAGGGAAGCCCCTACTAGCACAGAAACTACCGCTGAAGCAGCCGCATGTCAGTGCAGTGATTCAAGAGCATGGTTCCTTCAGGAAGGGACAAAAGCAAAGGGAGATCTACAGGAACAGAGCCGTGGCTTTACAGGAAAAAAAGAAAGAAAAGTCTTGCTCCTGCCTGACTTGAATAAGAAATATTAGCCCTGGCAAAAACCCAGGAGGACAGGATGAAGCCTCACCAAGACATCTGGTCTCTATTACGCTGCATTACTTTTTGTTTTGCTCAGCACTGAGGGCCTTCGACATCTTGCTGTGCCTTCGGGAAGGCCACAGGAGTTGGGATGGGTGCAGAAAACATCACAGCAGTGCTGGAGGCTGGAGAAGGATGCACTGTCAGTGCCCCTCATTACGCTAAGGGGAGAGCCCCTGCTCCTCGGAATGCCCCTCTGGACCTGCTGCAAGCAGAACAACTTAATGCAACTCATTAGGTGATAGCTTAGAGGTTGGGGAAACTGAGGCACAAAGGGACTGTGACTGACTCTGCTCACGTGGGGGAGATGGGCAGCATGCTGTGAACACCACTGAAGAGAGGACAAATAATTCTTCCTGGGGGACGCTTCACCCTCTTTCAAGTCCAAAAGGCCTTTCAGGAGAGACTCGGCACCAACACAGACAGGGTCCCACCTGTTTTTCGCACTTGGCTGAAGCAGATTCAACCTCTGCACAGCACACAGGTCTCACTCCGCTTAAAAAAAAAAAAAAAAAAAACCACGTTCCAGACATCGCCTGAGGACAAACTCTGCTTGTAAACTTCCCCTGCTGCACACGGGCACTGCTTGGGGACTTTCCTCCCATGGAACAGCACCGCTTCCATCTTGAAGGATGCACATCATGGAGCACACAGCAGAGGGAAAGCAAAAAAGGTGAATTTTCAAGGAAATGGGCAACGGGAGGCCCTGAGCCAGAGACTGAGCAATTGCTGCCACCACAGACAGACAGCAGGGGCTCCTCCATCCAATGCAACCACCCCGCATCAGGCCTCGGGATGGAGCAGCCTTTGAGAGCCTCTACTTGGGAAACAGAACAAACACAGGACAAGTGCAGCTCCTCTCACCTGAATTGGTGCCTCAAACCAGTATGTCAAAGCCCTGACACACCGGACCAGCAATTTTCTTAACAAAACAGCAGTTATGAGCAATGCTCTGCTGGAAGAAACAGCATCAGCTAAAGCAGCCGCCGTGGGTGGCCTGAGCTCGCTCACACTTTAGCTCCATGACACACAGCTCCTAAAAGCCATCGTGGTCCCCAGCCCAGCGGCGGGGCTCACGGGCTCAGTGGCAGCACAGCACCACTTGGCTCCTCCAGTAGGATGGGATGCAGGAGCGCTCTGCTCCCGTTCAGCCTCACCAAGATGCTTTTGCTGGAAGGACTCTGCATCCCGGTGCCGAGCTGTATTTGGCCAAGCCTGTGTCCCCGAAACAGCAATAACCCTGGGGCTCTCACAGGCCAAACAATGACTTGCCCCTAAATTTGGAATAAAATAAAAGCCATGCTGCAAGAAACGCAGCAGGAAAATTACAAACTACACAACACATTAAATAATGGCTCTCAACGCTCCTCAGCCTCTTGGCTCCTTAAGGGAGACACCACTAACTCCCTGCTCCTAATGTCCATCCACATCAAACCATAATTTGTCTCTGTGGCATCCTTCCTCCCCCACTGTAGAGCAATGGTCCTGGCGCTGCAGAGGGGACAGAGGCGCAGGGAAGAGGGAAAGCTGCAGCCTGCCAGCCCCAGAACCGCACCACCAGCACTTCCTTCATTCCTTCCTCCTCCACAAATGATACAGCCCCACGGGAAGGAGTTAGTTTATGAGCAAATCACTGGATTTAACTTCCCCATTTAAAAAAAAAATAAAATTGTGGGAGCGCTAAAATCTCTCTCACCTCTGAGAGATGCTGAGAAGTGGCCCAACCCTTTGGAAAAGGCTTCTTCTGCTGCAACAAGCATCGATTCAGCAAGGAAGCCCTTCACAAACCCACTCCATGCATACCACAGTGGTGGCTCATCCAACATGTTACTCACACAAACACATCCAACCTTTTGTCCTCTTCCCTCACACCTCTCTGCCCCTGACAAGTGTTAATTATGATCCCTGAGCAAGGGAGGACAAACTCTACCATCCCAGCAACCTGTTTCTGAGCACACCAAACCCTTAAACAAGCCACGCTGGCACAGCCACCATGGGAAGTTTCCTCCTCCCAGTGCTCACAAGGTACTTTGTGCCTGAACGTTCCCACATTCGTTTAGATATGTAAATTCACTATTTCAAGCTGCTGTTGTTACCCACAGTCACGTCTGAGTCTTTCTCTAAACCATGACTTGAAATAAGCTGTCTAGATGCGACAGAAAACAGGAGAAAAGCAGGAGCCCACATCCCCGGCTCAGACTCCAAGAGCAACTCCTCTGCTGCCGATCCAAGCACGGACCCTGAACTGCGTAATGACAAATCGCCTATGATTTAAGGAGCACATGGCCGCGGCACAGACTAAAATCCCATTCAGATTTGCAAGCAAGAAGTCAGAGACTATTATCTCCGTCGAGCAAAGACTGCAGGCTGACTGCAAGAGCAGATCCCTCGGCATTCGCACAAGTTGACGGCTGCCTCCAACACAGCTGCCGGTTCACACAGAGGGTGATGAAGTCCCGAAGGGGAGTTAAAAAACCTCAGAGGCGCTGAAAAGCCTCTGCTCTTCCAGCCAGCGCTGAGAGCAGGACGGCAGCAGTGCTGGGTGAAAGAGCTGGAAACCAGCGTTTCCACCCAAATCTGCACCCAGTTACTTCCCCACAATGCTTCTCAAAGTTTCACCCTGGGTTAAAGAGAAGTAGGGGATAGCAAAGTGATTAAATATTATTATTATTTATCATACCTAAAGATACTGTCAACTCGAACCAGAAGTTTCAGGGGGGAAAAAGCACTGAGGGATTACTAACTATGGCAAACACACATATCTTGACAAACCACTGCTCAGCAGCCCACCAACTGAGCGTGTTACATAACCTCTCCGGTCTTTAAGTAGATATTTTAGGCAATTACAAAGCGCGAGGGGCACCAGATGGCTTGGGGGAGGGGGGGTGGCAAAGCCTAGTCAGAAATGACAATAACGGCATGGAGAAAATCAGCTGAAAAAGTCTCTGAATGCGTTCTTGCGACACTTCTCCAGCCGGCTGGCCTAGGCCACGAGCCCGGCTGCATCCCTGAGGGGGGCTGTGATTTCGGGCCAGCGCCGAAGCCAGAGAGGTTGGTGTCGTTCCCACCGGCACAGTGGGATTTAGGGAAGATGGTTGGCAAAGATTATTGGCTGCGTCCCCTGGAAGGAGAAGGAGAAGCAGCGGTACCTGGTACAATCCCATCCCGCACGGCCGTGTCTCTGGTCTGGGATGCCAACGGATGGGGCAGCGCGGGCGGCTCATCCTGGGCAGCGGCTCTGCGGGGCTCCGGGGACAATCAGCTGCTGCTGAGGGAGGGAGTAAAGGAACAAAAAAAAAGAAGAAAAGATGATTTTCCTGCTCGACGAGGCGCTGCCCTCCGGGCCCGCAAAGCCCCGGCCCGGGGCGGGGGGGGGGGGGGGCCCGGCCAGCCCCGCTCTACCCCCGCGGCCCGGCCGGGGAGCAGGAGGCGGCTCCCCGGTGAGGGGCGAAGACCGGGCCCACCGACTGACCTCCCCGAGCGGCCGCCATCCCTCCCTGCCTCGCCGGGGTGACGGTTCCGCCGCGCCCCGTGGCCGGGGGACCGCAGGAGGCCGCAAAAGGCCGCGGGGGGAGCCCGGTCCCTCCCGACGCGGGGTCTCCCGGTACCGGGGCGGCGCTCACCTGCGCGGGGCCGGGGCCGGGACCGGAGGCGGA